CTTTTCAATGTTCACGATAGTTTAATGATAACATATGCCTGTCGGTATTATTGGTAATCGCGTCGGTATGTATCATCGGTAACCGTGCCGATATATGGATTAAATCTCGGGCCGCTGGCGCGTGATAGTAGGAGGCGGCCGGGGGAGAACTACTTCTCCTCACGGCGCACGATATGGTGCTCCGCACTGTACATATATATATATAAATAGTAACTACAAATGATTTTATTATATTATGTATATTCTCTTTATCTGTTAAACAGATATATGTTTGGCTGTATGGAGCAAACGGATGTCGATGTGTGTGTTCAAAATTTAGTTTATTGCAATAAACTGTACAGTACAAAGCTTTCGACCTTTGGTTTAGGTCTTTCTGAGTGTAATAAAAAGACTCGCAAAAAAGGAAGAAATAGTGACGGTCGTCGTTAGGTGGTGATTAGTAGTCAGTGGTAAGACTAGAGGTTTGACCATCACTTTACAATATAAAGAAGTGACTGAAGAAGAATTAAAAAAACAGTGACTGAAGAAGAATTAAAAACAAAATAATATATATTAATATATATTAATTAAAAACATTATATAAAAACTAAACATTTTAAATTCATTGTATCAATAGGTAGACTTTGCCTTTTGTGAAAAGTCGAAACATAAAAAATAATTAAGACAAAAAAACTTGGCGTGGCTGCATTGAAAACTACAGCAGACGTGTTTTACCTGCGCGGTTTATATCACATACAAAACCAAACCAGTCAGCATCGCACTAAAAGTGAAATAATTCTTACATTAAGCAAATGCAAACTTTTGATAAGATTTTCACTTTTCCTCGTCTAGTTTACACAGAACAATGCTATTTCTCGGAAAGTATTTATAAAATAAATCTTTCATTTTTTTTACATTTACGATTAAGTCTATGTGTACATAAAAACAAAAAATTTGGTATAATTTACTTAAACATTTAAACAAAGTATATAATACTTTGTTTAAATATGCTAAATGTTGTGCAGCAGTTTTTTAAGTAAGTTAAGTAAAGTGGGGCCATTAAGCAATGTGGTGAGACACCACTGTCATTGCTCAATGATCTGGTTAGGTTGCAGGGCAGCAGCAGTTCTAGAAAGAACTGCTGGTTGCCACAGGGTGCGACACATCGCCGCATTGTCCGAAGTGCAACGCAGCATGTGTCGACACCGGCACCGGTAACTAGCAAGACCGTTGCTAGGACCGGTGGGCCTGCTGAATCGGCGCGATCGATCTACTATAAATCGATCGCGCGGATGAAGCAGAGCAGAGATCGTGATCAGACTGCTAGCTCAGTGGAGCTGTGTGGCTCCGCCGGAGAGTTTACCGCAGTGAGGAATAGCCGTGTAAGGAACGTTGAAGGAACATTTTAAGGAACTGGAGCAATAAAGATAATATTATAAGTTCAAGAATAGAACTTATTCTTCTCACCAACCAACTTCTTCGACTTTTAACAAATGCTAAAGAATGTGAGAATTACAAAATTTATTAATACTCCAACATTAAAACACAAGTACTTATGTATATAAATACATACCAGTAATGATTCAGAAAAGAAATTGTTACTTAAACAAACATTACTGATTAGTTATCATCAGATTCACGCACACGTTCATGATAAACACATTTTATTTACTAACTGAAGTGCACCCACGCCAAGTTTTTTTGCCTTAATTATTTTTTATGTTTCGACTTTTCACAAAAGGCAAAGTCTAACTATTGATACAATGATTTTATACTGTTTAGTTTATACTGTAACGTTTTTAATTAATATATATTAATATATATTATTTTATATAATGTTTTTAATTAAAATGTACACAAGTGTACTTGGTGCTACTTTTTCATATCACTTCTTTTGTAACGTAGGTTTTGTAAAAATAGTAAAAGTCTACTTGGTGCTACTTTTTGATATCACTTCTTTTGTAAAATAGGTTTTTGGAGACAGAACTCGTTATAAGGATTGTAGAAAAAAAATTTTGTAGTATGTAATTTTATAAAACATGTTTTATAAAAAAAATTTTTTATTGTAAACTAAACTACATTTTTCTTGCATACTAAAAAGTTTAAATACAATACGTATTGTGCGTGTACTTGGCGCCTGTTGTTACCTTTTTTGAAAAGGTAAGTTTTTGAGATTTAAGACTACAGTAATGTTACAGTGCAATGTATTTGTAATATTGAAACGCACAAATATGCAAAATGTTTCAAATTTAATAGATAAAACTTTAACAATATATAAAGACATCAGAGAGAGGTAAAAACTCGTTGCTAAATTGTGTAAGTTCATAATCTTTTTGCACTCAAAACTCATAATCAGATATCCGATCGAATGTAAAATGATTATGAATTGACGCAAGTGCACGGGTTTGTTTTCATGTCTTGGATATCTTTATATATTTCCAAAGTGTATTTATTAAAATTTGAAGTATCTTGCATATTAAAAAATTATGAACAAATTGTTGGTTTTATATAGAAATTAGTAAACAATTGTCTTTTGTCCAGTTAATATTGCTATTTTATTTTATTATATATATTGCATTTTACGTTTATATAATAACAACAGCTTTCTTCCTTTAAATTTTAATTTATTTTTGTTTGTCTTATGCTCTTAAAGATATATAGATAAACAGAAGACGACAAGTATGAATTATAAACGACCCAGCAAACAATTTGGTTGCAGGATGTCGCGGTTTTGTCGTCAATCACCGGCAAAATTTGTAGACAAAATCCATATCTATGTTGGTTTGGTTTGGTTTGGTGTAAGTATGGCTCTTGGACCGTAAAGATTAGTCCACACGCCAGTCTGAGTACATATTGGGTGTGTTTAGCCGAAGCTAGCGCTACGTAGCGCTACGTAGCGGCTTCATGTAGCAGTTGCAATTGCTGCGTTACTTCTGCTGGACAGTATTGCTACGCGCAGCGCTTTTTGTAAGCGCAAATATGTTTGTATACAAA